TGCGCATTATGCACGTCAGCTACATGTCCTTTCGCTACGGCTGGCGCGCGCGCGGGAAGGCTAGTATGAGTAATGCATGCGCTTCTGTTGTCGTCGACAGGACGAGGAGTGCATCGTTACATATTTTATGCTGAGCAGGAAGCGATATGTGTCGCCGACATTAGATACGCTCGCGTGTCACCAGAAAGGTCGATTTGAAACTTTTTTTTATTCCTGGTGTGTAGCTGGTCTCGTAAAATTTCAAAAATGCATTCAACTAATTCCGTAAATAATTTAGTAGTTTAGTAAAGTAGTTTAGTCTACTATACTAAACTACTTGACCAAACAACTTGCTTACTGGAACAGTATTTTTTTACTTTGACATTCATTAAATTTATATTCCTAGTTGGTGATTGTTAGTATTTGTATTCGGCAACTCGTGTTCATCAAAATGTACAATAACCGGGTACAATAAACGGCGAGCGGTTGTTGCGGAGCCGTTCGTGTCGTGTCGAGGGTGCTGTTTTGTTGTTTTAACAAATTGTCTATCGAGTACGCGCCCGCCGCAACAATAGCGCAAAACAATGACGGACTCCGATGCCGGGCGCTGCAATTTGTGAAATTGTGAAAACTGCGAAAACGTTTCGGAAAAACAATGTATACCACACAATCACACACAGACAAAGCGATTGTGTGTGCGCTTGAGATGGGTGACAATAACTTCGATCCTGCCAACGGTTCAATTTGTTATTTTATTTTCGCGCACTCAACCAATAACAAAAAAAATACCTACATGAAAAATGATGAAAAAACCGCAATATTATTCGTTTGTTGATTTTACAAAATTGTTATTGTTTATCCGCATGCGATATTTGCGAGTCGGGGAGTTTTGGTGCAATTGAAAGAAATTGCAACATGCGCATGAAAAGGTGTGTATAAACAATGTGCCATTAAGGTCTATTGAACGCCGGCGGTTAGTTGACACAGCATTGTTTGCACAATCTTTTTTCTATGATTTGCTAAATTGCTAAAATTGTTAGTTGTAAAAACAACAAAACATTGTATATTAAATTTTGCCAGTTCCGGTATTTTAACAGATGAAAGCAATCTGTTTTTTCAGCTTCTAAATTTATATTAATTTCATATTTCCGCCTAAACAATATTCATATGCCGCGCGTTTTTGTGAATTTTAATTTTATTACACTCGCATTTTATGCGTTTATTCTACAACGCTTTACTATATTATATATTAACGTTGTTGCCAGTGGCGGCGGCACCGCCGGTAGAACGATAACGCTACGCAGTGTGCGAACGAATTAAGGACATAATGAAATTTCGTAATTTCCGCACGCTTCTTTTTTTCGTCCTTCCTCGCGCTCTACTAGTGCCGGGCGAGGTGCTCACAGGGTTTCCTTCCGGTTCGCGGGGTTTACTTATAATCCTCTGCGCGGTTTTTTTTTCTGCCTATCCCAACACACCAGCTGCCCTTAGCGCATTTGCAAAGTACGAACTGGCAGCCGACTAAACACAAAGTATAAGTAACGCCGTTTTAATCTAGACCAAAGTGAAAAAAATCAAGTGAAACACAATATTTATGTTTATATATAGGTATAGCTTATTATATAACTAGTGCAAAAAGTGAATTTTTATATGTATTACGAGAGAATACAGCTTTTTTTGCTGAAAAATGCAATTTTTCTAGTGCACGCTGGAGAAAAATTTTAATAAATATAAATGTTATCTTATAAACATACTAAAAAGATACCTAAGTTTTTAGATCCAAAAAAGGTTTTTTATTTGTCCTGACAAAAATGTAGTGCAAAAATTGTTTTGAATGAAAAAAAGACAAAAACAAAATTCTCCCTAATAGGAAATTGTTTCAGATATTTTAAATGTTGAAACAAAAAAGAATAGCGTCAGTTATGTCATGAGAAGCGGGCGCATTTCTTATTCTTTTATGCGTAGCTGGGCTGTTATTGCTGCGCTGCTTTCCGCAAGGCTAATCCGGCTCGTGATTGCGCGAATAAGCGCCGCAAGATTGCTCGAGATTGCCGGCGAATTATCGTATTATATATTTTATGATTAAACCCGCGGTCGGCGAACGAAAAACGAAATGAAAACCGTATACAAACAAAGAATCGCAATAAAATAAAACAAATACAATTATTATATCCGGCAAAAGGCAAAGAAGTAGTCGTAAAAATCAATTTTCCAATGGGAGTGTCATTATATACCTAGTGGTTTATAAATCAATAATATCCTTTAAAAATATTTTAACTGCAAATCTGAGTTAGGTAGTATGTTTGTTACGATTTCACGCAAAAGCGACTCAACCACTTTTGAAAAATTTTGTTTTGGAGATACTTGTAGTTTAAGAGCCCGTGACGGCCAGACTTACTATTCCCTGAAAATTTCATGTTTAAACAATTTAACTTTTGCAACTCTCATACACTTTCAATGCGTCTGGCAGGATGATAGACCCGACCAAACTGTCTGGCGTGAAAGAAAACACAGTTTCATAGCTCTCTGCATAATGTGTATCAAATTCAGCTTTCCTAATATACCGAAAGTGAAAAAATTAAAAAATATTATAGTTTAGGGGTGTCTGGCTAGGGTTGGAACCATACCAGGTGTCTGGCAATGAGCAGCGCATGTTGTAATAATGATACGAACAAAATATGTAAGGTTACATAATTGGGGATCGTGCTTACCTGTATTAGAGACACACAGACAAAATTTCATCTTTCCTAAAATGACGAATGTCTGGCCGTCACGGGCTCTTGCTCTATTGGGACCATAGAAAATAAAATAGGCTACTTTTTGTCGCAAAATATAAAATTTTAAAAATCTTATCAAATAAAGAATAAAAATTTATACGGTGCATAAATCATAATTTGCACATTTCTTATTTTTGAAGTAAAAAGCCCATGAAACAAAAAAGTAAATAGTTAAGCATAAAAACCTAAACAGATAAAGTCATGAGCAAAAGCTAATATTATATAAATACAGATGATTATCGAGCTGAATGTTACATGTTTTCCAATTACCAGCCAATTGCACATGGCACGCACGTGTTATAGTCCTGCAAGCCTTCTTTCGTTTGTTACGCCCGTTCGAATGGAAATGAAGAGGGCAATTCAACGGATTATATCGAATGCGACTAAGTCGATTCGCTAAGCTGTGGGACTCGTGGAGTCAGTGGGTTTACATTAGGATTTCCATTCGAGAGCGCATTGAATGCAACTGTTAGTTACATTCCGTGCATTTTCGGTTCACGACTCGATGGTATTTCGATACGGTTGTATATTGCTTCTGCGTCGTTGAGAATCGAGCCGCAGTTCGATAGTTATCGCATGGTTGGTGTTTAGGAAGTCGATTTGTTTAGGTTTTAAGTACTCGCAGCTGCAGGAAAACACGACCTGCATACAAGATAAGATAAGATTGCAGCTAGAATTTAACTTTTGATGCAACATTTCTTCCGCTTCTTTTTTTTCGTTAAGCAAAGAAAGATTTCCGTCCTCATTAATTTTCTTTTTTGCATTCGCCCACTGCCACCATGCCTTTTTCCTCGCAAAGTTTTAGAGCACACGCAGTCGACTGAAAAAGTCCCCTAATTAAAAGCTTCCGTCTCGAATAATAACGGCGCGACGAAGATGCTGTTGATAATAAGGCGTCACTCGTCACCCAACACGTGGCTAGCCCTTCTTTTTACTTATTCATCCCTTACAATGCGTAGGTACGCGCCTCCGGCGTAAGATTTAATTATAAATTTAATTATTTTTATCATATTATCAAATTTACTTCGTGTCCCAAGGAAGCAAAAGTACAAACGTCATCGTGCTATAGGTAAACAATCGTGCAAAAGACGGAAAAATCCAGCGCCGAAACAAAACGAAAACAGAACATAATTAGTCCCAAATTGGACGTTTGCTTATTGTTATTTCAATATCGCGAGTGTCTTGGAGTTGAATATAAAACAGAGCACCCCACACAGTTCGCTTTGATATCATTTTTCGGGCGCCGGTGTATTGTTTTCATTAAATTTAATTTCGTCTGATAATTGCTCACTCTCGTGCACTGTGGGCACTGCGGCCCAGTGAGTACTAATTTTTACTCTGCATACAAAACGTCTCAAACACATTTAAATTTTAATTAAGACGTTTTCATCTGAAATGAGGTAATTTCGAGGGTAAAAACGCCTCCAAGTATTTGCACCGCATCCATTCTTGTAGATCTTGTCAAATAACAATAGAAACTAGATGGGATGATGAGGAATACAGTGTCTGAAACTAGTTTTGGAGCTAGTTTGGCAAACGCACGTCTAATTCGATTTAATTAATTCAAATCTATCAGAGTGCAACGCTATTCTCCTAGCTGGAGAGAAGTGTGCAGGGTTGGCAGAGAGTTATTTAATTATGCTCGTCTCCGTAAGCTGAAGCATCGTGCAAGTTTTGGTTCATCGCACACAAAACCAGGAAGCGCATTCGTTTTCATCTCGGCGTACACATTGAACAAACGTCGCAACTGTCGCAATCAACGATTGTTTAAATACGCCGCATCGAAATATGAGCAACTAAGCTTTGTTTAAGATTATAATTAGCAATCAATTGATACTTACTCAAATCAATTCGAACAAAATGTTTAATTGGAAAATTCTATTTTATTAGAAACCTGATTCGCCGTCAACTTGACGCACGTTAATTATTAAATTCATTAATTAGCCTTCAAGTTATTTTCACTTCAATTGAAAATTCGCATTCGATTCTTGTGAAGGTATTCAATATCAATTAATTAAGGTGGCATCGAATTGCAAGCGCTTAACGAGTTCGCATCGTTATTGGATTTTAAATTTTATTTGATTTCATTTAATTTAAAAATGTTGGTAACAATTAAAAAAATGTTTACCAAAATACTAGAAGCTAAATTTTTAATTTAGTTCCGATTTGTATAGGCAAACATAAAATATAAGTAATGCAGTGCGTTGGTACGCCCACGCAAAAGTTATGAACCAGCAAACTCACCGAAACTTTGGACATTCACTACCCAGCGAGCTGAGGGAATGGAAATAATTGAAACGCAAATGTCGAATGGCGGGCGTCGCGCCCGCAAGCCGAATACTCTCGCATCGAAACTCACCTGAAACAATAGAAACAGAACAATTAGCGAGCGCGCTTTAAAGTTTAATGCTGCGGCTCGCAGGACTATAATAGAGAGGCCCTATGCGTACATCATTGGACTGCCGCGCATGCGCATTCAGTAGAATCTGATGGGATTTCATTTTACAGGCGTAGCAAACTGGCAAAACTGATTACAATCGTATTTTTTTAATTTGTTTGCTACAGTTTTCAATTAAAAAAAATTAAAAATGCCTTGTAAAAATTTGTTGCAAAAAGTAACATTTACTTAATTTACTTAATTGAATAAAAATTTATTTCAGTTACATGTATCTATTATGAGTAAATAATAATGACACAACATTTTTTTGCCATTCTTAAGAAATAATTACGAATAGCTATAATTGCAGTAAATTACAAGCCGAAACAACAATAAAATTTTGGTCTTGTTAGCCGCCGAACAAATTACACTAAGCGTGCGTTATTGTTCGATTACATTATGCAAGTGCGACCGACGATTACGTAAATCGCGGCAGCGAAGAAACACGCGCGCCCGACTGTTTTGGAACGGGGCCCGAATGAATCCAAAAATTCGCGATGTGTGACCGGCCTCGCACGCGTCCGCTCGCCTGCCCGTTACGGCACTATCATCATTCGGCAAGCGCAGACATTTTGGGGCGTTCGCCGTCACGCTGTGCGATTTTCCTCGCTTGCTTGACCACCAAAATTCACTACTAGGTTACACAAAACCGTTAGTCACTGTGTTATATTTTATTTATTTATAGGATAAAAATGAATCGCAAAATCTGTTGGTAAGCGCATAACTCAACAACGCCTAGACCAATTTGGCCAATTCTTTTATTTAAATGTTCGTTAAAGTCCAAGGATGGTTTTTACGGCGAGAAAAAATCGAATAATTATCGAGAAAACCCTGCATTATTAGTAAATCTTTATATAATTAATTTCTTTAAAATAAAATTGCGAATCTTATTGATCGAATTGACCCATACTATGTCCCAAAACAAGAAAGTAAAAACGAATTATATTTTTATTAAACACTACCAGGGCTAGGTCTCGATCAAAAGCTAGTATTCGATACAAATTTAACAAACCGTTTTTTTTTCTTTCGTGTGAAAATTGAGTAAACATTTATTTTTATTTCCAGGTGTTAAAGGTGAAATTCCGTTAATTCCTCGAGCCATGAGAGGCCGTTTAGCCGGACCAATTGGTAATGTCAGCCGCGGCCGCCGCCGCCGTCGTCTTGGCACGAGCCCGGTAAACCGAGAACAAAACCCACAGAACTAAAACTAAATCCGTGTAAAATGCAAATGGGGGTGAACGCGCATTTATACCACCTGCTTCAAACCTTAACACACTCCACCTATATACCAATTCACGGTTGGCGAATACTTTGTGGAAACTTTGCGCTTTTCTAAAACTGCGAACTCCGAACATAAAATTCCCGCAACCGACAGTGCCAAAAGTGATTGTAAAACAACTCGTAGAGTTTACAGGACTGGTACGAGTGGTACACTCGCGGGGTGCGTGTTTGTGAGTTGCCCCTACGTGCATTAACCATCAATCTATGTACAAGGTGTGCGATTCGATACAACGTCGACATAACGCGACCTCTGGATTGCAAACACACCTTGACAGCACGCTTCCTCGATCTATCACGGGTGCTAACTAACTATCTCATTAAAACTTTTGCAATGGAGACGCGAACTTTCACGCCTGTCCTATTAACGTGCTTAAATTTAATTTTTACAAGCCACATGCGCCATCTATACGCACGTAGTTATAAGCAAGTCCTTGAAGGAGATTATCTCTTTGAATAACGCTCACTCAAAAGAAGGGGAGTTTTACACAAAAGTGCGAAGCTTGTGTGCACGCACCCTTCGGAATAATCGAGAGAAAAATTGATTTATATCCGGTTTTCTTAGGCGTCTAATTCCTCAAAGGCGACCCCGAACGCCTTCTAATCTTACTATGCTCCCCGGCGCCGCCACCAATCGACGCCTCTGCTTTCTTCTCGGAAAGAAGCAGGAGCTCAGAGGTGTACCCCACCCGCCGATATCATAATGCCGCTAATGATGATAATAAAGCCGAAAATGTGTTGCACTTCCCACGGTCTGGCTCCCCTGCGCCAAATCCCACGTAGAAAATTGCCAAAAATTTATTCTGCCAGCCGGGCGAAATTGGAAAAATAACAAATTGCGTTCGAGATGATGAAAAAATAAAAGAGTGAAATATTTTTTTCATTCACTCTTGAATTTCATGCGAATTCAAACACCCAGTGCGTAAGAATTTTCCAAGTTGATAGAAAATTTGATCTGTTATCAAAAAACTTCATGACGCAAGAGAGCGCAAAAAAAATGCGCTTGTCGGTTGTTTTCTAATTCGATATATTATATCGATATATCCACGATACATATAACCAATTTTGGGAGCCCGGTTGGTGCGAATGCCTTCGGGGTCGCGTTCTGCTCTCCCGTTCGGTTCGCAACGCAAGAAAATGGAGCAAAATCGTCGATAAGCAGCAGCATTATAGTTCGGATGGGCAATATTCTACCGTTTTCCAATTCCTGCCAGCACTAGATGCACACAAGCACACACCAATCTACCACCAACACATGTACACGCAAGAAAGAGCGAGACGCCTACGCACGAGCGGCTAGCTGGTAGCCCGATACTCCGATAGCTTCATTTTCCGCAAAAAGCAAAAGCGCACGCCAGCAATATTGCGCGCCGTGGACAAGGAAACGCGACTGTTCTTGGTTGTATGTGCGCGTTAACGTTATTGGCCTGCACGGCTGCACGACGTGCGGAGCGGCGATATAGGTAACTTACGAGTTACGCCGCCAAAGAGTAAGAGCCGCTCTAGATAACCGAGTTGCCATAAACATATAAACAAAGTGAACGCACCAACGAGAACCGGCGTTTTTCCAGTAGCGCAGCAGCAAAAAATTGAATTAGCTCACATACACAGCGCCCTCTGACGTCGAGTAGTGTTATCGTAATTGAACCAATTCGAAAAAAAATTACGATGTAAACAAAATGTACAGCGCCCTCTAAAAGGCAATAGCACTAAAATTAGTATCTCAACAGTATCAAACTTGCAAAACATGTCAAACGAACGTAAATCTCAATTAGTTAGCACTACACTTCGCGAAAATTGATTTTAGAGTGATGACATCAACTTGCACTGCCTTCCCATCGATGTTATTAAGTGGCGCTTTGTTGATGCATTACTCATTCATTCTCGGCGCACAGAAATTGGCATTATTTACATATAGGTATACGAGCTGTCAAAGTTTTGCAGCGCGCTAAGTTTGCGAATAAATTTTAATACGGCTGCTCCACGGCGCGGCGCGCGGTTGCGATACGCACACCACCGCTGCCGCCTCCGCTTGATTGATAGTGGGTTTTAACGGGACGGCCATCAATGCACGATGACGATGATAAATGTGCTTCGCGCGAGCGTTCCGCGCCCGTAGTTTCTGCATTTGCGAATGCGTTTCAGCTGTGCAGCACTCAAGAAGCAGCAGCCAGAGCACATTCAAATCGAATGTTTTGAATTGCGAGCTGGTAAATACCGCTCTCGCGAAGCATCTCGCAAATAAAATAAACATCGACAGCGTTACGAGTCATTACATTAATGTAGACTATTTATTCATAGATGGCGCTGCATGTTAAAATGATGGCGGCTAAAAAGTTTACGGCTTGTCTAAAACCCACCCACGAGCATCTTTAATGTATCTTAGCGCCCGCGCGCGCGTAATTACAATGTGTAATTAAAACGAAATGCCGACACAAAACATGCCGTTTGTCTTCCGCGCCGCCGAAAACTTGCAAACCTCGAAAATTACGATCATGGAACAACGACAGATGTTACCATTGTCACAAATTGCAATGTGCAATCGAGAAAAGTGTCGAAATGGGGCTCTGAAAGTTGTTTTAAAATATATCTCTTAATAATATCGACATTATTATACGTGTAGTGCAGTAATATAATATAATCAAACAACATTCACTTTTCTTTCTTTCATTCCGAATGTGTTGTTATGTTGCACTTCGCAACAGAATAATCGTCACTACAAATGCAATTACGCATTGCTAATGAGCTGCGCAAACAAGTCGACGACACCAGAGCGCTGCAACTAATTGCATGCCGCGTGATGAGTGATTGCAAACACAACCGATTGAAAATGGTCAAGGTCTCTTTTGTAAATAGAGACAAAGGTGTTACCTTCAAATCGAAATTAATTACACAGCTTAGTATATTTATTAGTTTTTTTTTTTCGTTGGTTCGATTGAAACAAGTAAATATTAATTTATTTACGGGATGTTGCATAATGTTATTAGTGTTTGTGCGAAAAACAAACACTATAAAGATAAAGCATCTCTCGAATGGCAAATGTTGGGAGTTTCAGTTGACGCCGCCGCGTTTCGGTGATTATTTCTAATTAACGTCAATTTAGCAGTCGGCGTTCCGTGAAATCCGACATTCTTTATCTCTTCATTATTAAAACATCGATACAAGCTTTCGGGCGAGGCTTTTGGCAGCCAAGCCGGCGCTCGGCAAAAGCCAGACAAATAAAGTCCACGGCTTTCTACGTGAATTTGCGTGATTGTATCGTAAACAAATTTTCGCAAACAAACCCCCGGCTAGAGCCTTGCACTGCTTAATTTATAGCCGTATTTCTTTCCTTTGTGTTTTTATTTTCCGCGTAGCATTTCTGGAAATCGAAAAATCAGCACAACGACCCGACGCGCATCGGCTAAACGAGGAAAAATGCGAGATGCACACGCCGGGACAAGAATAAAGTCGAACGTAAATGAGAAGAATAAAAAATAAGAAAACAAAGCGCAGCAATAAATGGAGTCGAATTTCATGCCACACCATCCGGCGACGCGGGGATTTGATTTCATGATTTCTTACGCCGTGGCGTCGTCTCATTTGCATCGCGGCTCGATTTACTTAATTTGCGCGACCGACTGCGCTTTCTTCGCTAGTAATTT